TGCCATACACTAGGGGTGGTCGCTCAGAGCAAGACACTAGCAACTGCCTGCTCGTCCATCGCCTTCCAAATCCTCCCGAGTACGACGTCGGCTGCCCTCAAGAGGGTGAGCGCTTCGACGCGCTTATGTGCCGGGGTTGGGGTTCATCTGTTGATTATTAGCATCGAGCTTGGAGAAATATAAAGTAGACCTGGGTTAACAAAACATACCTTTCGCTTGCCACCGGTCAGGGTGACGTTCACGAATCGGCGGGTGTACGTGAGTCTCTTCTTGGCACGGCCCTTAGGGGTCTTGGCCTTCTCTTGCTTCTCAACCTATTTGGATACCACCTGTCAGCGACCTGAACTTGCTGTAGCATGTATTTGATGGCTTTGGACGAAATGAATGCGATATCGATGGCGGAAGCGTGCGTTCGGGGTGACAAGGGACGTAGCCTCTAGCGGATTTTCCGGGCTGAAAATTTCATCGAGAAGGTGGGTGGCGAATCGCTGGTGACTTGCGAAAGTCGTCGAATGTAGGGAAAATCAATCGGCGTTGAGAATACAATCGTCAAATCCGCACGCGCGCTTCTTCATCGTCATCGCCATCGCCATCGGGAGGGTGTAAATCCTGAGATTTGAATGGAACTAACCTTGGGGGTCTGAGACTTGACCTTGCCTGTAGAATCTCGTTAGCCGTAATTCCATCTTCGCGAAGTCCTTCAAGAAAACATACCGGCACGGGCGAGGGAACCGTGAACTTTTCCCATATTGACGGAGTTGTGATGTTGTTCGTTTCAGTATCGATGAAGTGAACTGATTGAAAGAAATCGATCAAGGTTGGATGTGGGCAGTTTTTTTGCTAATGCGCAAAGTCTTGGCAAGGGCTGGAGAAGAAAAGAGTCACACCGGAAGAGGCCAATTCGTCAAATATTCCACAAAGGGACAAGTAAACCCTGGTCATGTGACTTCGGTTTAATACATATTCTGAATAGTGAATATTCATACCTAAGGTAAAACTTATTCATGATTATTAGGTGGGTCTCAGGTGATACTCCATTGGCCCCGCCGAATTCACAGGAACCCCAGACCCACATCACTGTTGTCCCACCTGATACATCATTCACATGGCGACTTGTTCCGGCGACCATCGTTTGATGAGTGAACCATCCGAACTCCATCGGTGAAAGCACTCTGGAAGTGGCATTTAAGCATAAGCTATTGCTCTCTGCGGATTTTAGATTCATATTCTAGCAATAACTAAGGAAATTTAATCCCTTCCCTTCACTCCCAAAGGCCCAAGCGACCTATCAGGATTTAGTGGCACTGGCTGCCCGTACTGTACCACGTTTCACATCATGAAGCTCTCAAGCAGTTTGCCGTTTGTCTGCCTCGCCGCGACCTCCCACGCGGCCGAGCGCGCCCCGGAGCCGCAGTACATCTTCAGCAACCCGCCTGTTTCCGCGTCGGAATACCGGATTCCCACCTCGTATGAATCCGCTGTGCTCGGCCGGCGCATCCTAGCTTTGAGCCCCCTTGGCACTCTTGCTACCGTCTTTCCGGATGCCGCGGACGGCCTCGGGGGCATGCCCGTCGGCCTGTTAGAATACGTGGCGGATTGTGAAGAAGACGGCAACCCTACCTTGCTAGCCATCAACATCGAAACGACCTTCAAGAATGTACGCGGCGGCTCAAATATCAGCCTGGCCCAGCAGTGGACACCGCCATATCCGCCAGACAAGCGCATCAAATCCACCTTCTGGAACTGGCTGTTCGGACGTGATAGCGATGAGCCCACGGAAAAAGTTCCCTACAGCGCGGTCAATCTTCCTCGATACAGCTTGCTGGGCTACATCGAGGAGATGGACGAGGCGGCTACTGCAGACATGTCATCCTGCTTTGTGGACAAGCATCCCGATGCCAAGTACTGGCTTCCCGGTAATCCGATCCACGAGTCGCACTTCGTGAGACTTATTGTCACGAAAGTCTACTGGATCGGGGGCTTCGGGGACCGAGCCTACATCGGCTGGATCCCTGTCGAGGAATGGAAGAATGTCACTAGGAAGGAATGGGAAAGCGTCGAGCTACCTGGCGAGAAAGAGGGCTGGAAAGAATGGAGTTCGTCTGATCTCTAGGCTGTGACTAAACGTGGAAACAAATCAGATCTATCTCTGATGACACTTTGTATTGTTGCTCTTGTACTTGATGATATGTTGGAGAGCAGGTTGGTTATTACTGGCACTTACGTATCCGATTCCTTCGTCTCCAATAATATGTGATAGTCTATGGCTAAGCAGAAGAGACCACCAAGCAACCAGGAATCGTGACACTTTGGCCATTGCGGCCTACAGCATCCAATATGTCCGAGCAAGAGATCATTCAGGTAACTTCTAACAATGAAGCGACAATCAGATGCTGACGTAACTTTGGAGTGGGTTACAACGCATCTGCGGGGGTGAACATTCATTCCAACCCTCCTATACCTCAACAGACAATATCCTCCCAAGTTTCTAGGTTCTATTAAGATAGCTACATGTATGTAACTACTAAAGGTCTGATCCCCCATAGTTACCAACATGAGTAATACTCCAGACCAACAAGAGGAAGCCCTGCCCAAACTACCTCTCCCAGAGGGCGTAACCTCAGACTACATAGACTGCACCGCATCGTGCGGTCTAACGTGGCACGTCCTCAAAACCGGCACGCCCGGGAAGCCCCTCGTGCTCTTCTGCCACGGGTTCCCGGAGCTGGCGTTCTCGTGGCGCAAGGTGCTACCCCGGGTGGCCGCGGCGGGCTTCTACTGCGTGGCCATGGACCAGCGCGGGTACGGGCGCACCGGGGGCTGGCCGCAGCACCAGCCGTTCGCAGACGTTGATCTGAACGATTACGTCTTCACGAACCTGGTGCGCGACCTCGTGTGCCTCGTCTACGGCCTGGGCTACGCGACCGTCCACAGCATCGTCGGCCACGACTTCGGCGGCGTCAGCTCCGCCATGGCCGCTCTGATGCGACCCGACATGTTCCGGTCCAGCGTCCAGATGAGCCACCCGCACCACCGGCCCGCGGAACCGGCTCCCGGGGGGCAAGGGGGGAAGAAGGTAGACGTGCAGGGCGAGCTCGCGAAGCTGGATCCGCCTCGCAAGCACTACAAGTGGTACAACTCTACTGCGCAAGCCGCGAGCGACTGGGAGACCGCGCCGCAGGGCCTCGCGACGTTCCTGCGCGGCTACTTCCACCTCAAGTCGGCGGACTGGGCCGGCAACGCGACGGCGCGGCCCCTGGAAAAATGGGGCGCAGGCGAGCTGGCTGCGATGCCCGAGTACTATATCATGCAAGCAGGGCACTCGATGCCGGCAGCCGTAGCGGCCAACATGTCGGGCGAGGACGCGTCGAAGACAGAGCGCTGGCTCTCCGCGGACGACCTGCGGGTGTACTGCGGCGAGTGGGCGCGCACCGGGTTCCAGGGCGCGCTGAACTGGTACCGGGCGCAGACGGCGTCGACGGCCCAGTCGGCGCGCGACATGCTGCTGTTCGCGGGCCGCAGCATCGACGTGCCGTGCGCGTTTATCAGCGGGAGGCAGGACTGGGGCAACTACCAGCAGCCGGGCGCGCTCGAGAGCTACGAGGATCCGAAGACGGTTCACGCGGGCTGTTATAGGGGCGCGAGGCTTATCGACGGCGCGGGACACTGGGTGCAGCAGGAGCAGCCGGACGCTGTGGTTAGGGAGATTCTGGCTTTCTTTGATACGCTGGCGTGGTGATTACTATCAATAAGAGAGTGATCGTGAGCTCGCTTACATTTACTCATGCTACCGCACGGGCTATGTCCTTGAGTATCTTGACATCGTGAAAAAAATGGATGGCTGAGGAGGCAGCAATGATAAATGTGTGCAAACCCCACAAAGCGAGATAGGAGCGAATGTCTTAAAGGGATAAAGAAAGGAATGAAGAGGAAGAAAAAAAAAAGCACCACACCCCGGACTCGAACCGGGAATCTTCGGCTATTGATCTTGCAATAGGAGGCCGACGAGTTAACCATTTCTCTAGTGCGGCGTTGCCCGTTACCACCTGCACCACGGCATCTTTTCTCCTTCGTCTGTTCCCTGGTGGCTCTTGCTTTCCAGTTCTGCTTTTTACCTATATTAACAAAGGTACCTTTGTGGGCTGTGGTTGCCTGGTGGTCCGGCGGTAGGTGCAGCTTTCTGCCTTGGGCACTCAGGAAGCAGGCTCGACGCCTACTTTGCATGACAGCCGCGCCCTAGAGAAAACAAAAAAAATCAAATCATCCAGGAATATGTACTGTACATGCATCTACCCGCAACACCGCCGCTCCACATTGCTGAGTTGGCTTCCAATAAGACGCCCCTGACTTCGCCTTCAGCTGGACGTGCAGTCGCCCGATTTGTTACTGATCGTTTCCTGTAGAGCAAACAGCTACACACTACTTCAGGCTAGGGCTTACTTTGCCGTGACAAATGGCAAAGGCATGCAGAGTGGTCTAAGAGTGCTGCATTGAAGAAAATACACCAAAGAAGCTGATCTACCGTAGCCCTTCTGCCTCTTGACAAAACGCCTCCATCATGTAAGCTCATGATGGAAATGATGTTTTCCCCAGTTTGCTACAATATCTCATTCCGCAATACTCAACTTACAAATATTGCCAACCTCTTTACTGCCTCTTCTAGATAACTTAGAGATCTGCTTAGCATACCTGGTATTTTTCGGCAAGTAGCCCTTGGGTTGATTCCTTGGAACATACCCCTACGTGCCAACTGCAAATAGGAGCGTCCATCTTTGGTTTCTACTAACCCAAACATTTTGGTGCTTAAGTACCTAGGTAACCTCAAGTGCCAACCTGGATCTGTCCCTTAGATTTAAGTATCAACAAGTAATTCGAACGTGGCTAATATTTACAGGCTACCTGGCAATTTGAAACGCAGGAGGTCGAAACGTCGGTGAAAGACCTTTGGGCAATAAGATAGTAAAAGGATATTCAAAAGAAAAAAAGATAAAAAAATAATTTGCTCACTACTGGAGTCGAACCAGTCATCTCCTCATTGTCATTCTTAGTATACTAGTGAGGCGCATTACCGCTGTGCCAAGCAAGCCTTCTCGTCAAAAGACAGCGCAACCGCAGATAATATCTAACTGGTGTATTTCGAATTATATCCTATTGAACTAGTAAAGTCGTCTTACATTGACGGCCCAACTATGAACTGACCATTGGAACTCCACTCCCACGTCTCCTAGTAAGCCGGCCAGCCCTGAAAGAAACCATCTGGTCGTACACTGCCGGATCATTCGCACCCCTCGACTCCAGGCATTCTCCGTACTCTTTCAAGTACTTGTCCCTGATTGCCGCCGCTTCTTCTTCTTATTTCTCTCCTTCGTTCACTTCTCCCAGTGCTCTGAGGACCTGTGCTAGCCTATAGCGAGCCGCAGCAATTCCTTCCTCACACCAGGAAAGGCGATTATGCCTATCTAGACACTTCAAAAGGTGCTCTCTGTTGGCGGTTGAGATGAGTTAGTATATAATTTCAAAAAACCCTTGGATAGGGATATTCCGCTTTGTCGTGTTGCTTGGCATAAAAGAACAATACTCCAGTCATGGAGTAACTTTCCAGAGTTTCCATGTTCGTCTCACCTAATATCTTCCGCCTATTCTCCAGCACTCTGATGTTTAATTCGAGCGCGCTGTTGATATCCCCCTTCATGTAATATATGTTGCCCAGCATGAAGTAAAAGGCCAGCGAGGTATGGCCATTGGGTCCGCTGTGGGCAACCTGAAGCTCGCAGGCGCGTTTGGAGAATGCCAACGCCTCTTCGAAGCACCCGAGCTGCATGAAAGCGACCGTGGTGTTATAATATTTCGAGTACTCGAAAGGGAATTGGTCTTCCGAACCCCAGCTTTTGTACGCTTTCAGGCACTCTTCCATAAGGGCGATCGCCTCTTCTGCCTTTTCTTCCTGTAGGACGAACACGGCCAGGGACGACTTCGAATTGTAGAATCTGATGTGGATTTTCAGCATCCGTGATTCGCGAGGGTTTACATCCTAAGTCCTACAACTTGGCATTTGCTCCGATATGGAAGGGCTACCTACCTAGGCACTTGAATAAATATTGTTCACTTTGAACCCTTTCTTAAGGAGGTACATTTATAAACTCGCTACCTTGTTTTGTATTCCGCGCTCGCTTCTCCTTAGGTTATAAGCAAGCCTGGAAGGAGGCTAAGACTACCGCGGTAGGTTAGATAGTTGCTACCGCAGCTCTTGCAGATAGACTCCAAGACATGCCTCCGTCTTCATAGTGGAGGGTAGGGAAGGCTGCGAACTCCGCAGCTGAGTGGGTGGTTGGTTCTTTTAATCCATGTGTGTTAGTCGGCTCGTTGGTAGGTTCCTGATTGGTATATTTGCATTACAGCATCCAACATGTACTCACAGGGGTGTGTATTATCTCGTCCAACACGCATCTAAGTACACGCAAATAGATGCAGGAGCCGCTTTTCCACCACATCTGGCTTGCAAGCCAGGGCAACCTCCGGGTACCCCAGAATTCATCACATTGAGATTGACATGGAATTGGCATCGCTTGACACATGAACTGATGACGATAAAAACCAGCCACATATAATCTCATGTGTTTCAAGCGAATTCTGGTTATATCACTGTCTACTGGGCAACTGCCTCCTAATAGGTGACCGTTCGTTATCAGACGCCCAGAAAATTCGGCCTCTGCTCAATCCTCGAGCTATTATAGCATAGGATCCCGAGAGAATAGCCATTCTATGGACAGCCTCACACTGTCTTATTGGATTTTCGTCTTCTCTTCACCCTGCCTTCACTCGAACCAGCAAGCATGACTGATGCCATCATCCTCACTGGAGCCAACGGCTCGGTCGGACTTCATGCCGCCGAGCAACTACTTAAGGCATATCCTCAGTTCACACTTCTCTTCACTGTTAGAGACGCCGCTAAAACAGACGCCAATACCGGGAGTCTACGGGAGATCATTTCGCAATATCCACAGGCGAAAGCGTCCATTCACCAGGTCGATCTTGCTAATCTGTCGAGCGTCCATGAATTCGCCGATAAAATCGCTGTTGGCGATTATCCGCCGCTGAAGTCCATCATATGCAGTGCTTCGTACTGGGATCTCGTCGGCGACTCTGAGCTTACAGTGGATGGGTTCGACAAGAGCATGCAAATCGTCCATATTGCTCATGTAGCCCTCGTGCTGCGCCTCGTTGATCACTTTAGCCCTGACGGCGGCCGCATCGTGCTTTTCTCAAGCATCGGCCACTATCGCAAACCCAATAATATTACATCGCTCTTGCCCGACATTCCCGACGATTTGGATCAGCTCAACCATCCATCTCCTGGCAAGGACAAGCAGGGTCGCGGGTTCCAGAGATACGCAAACGGCAAACTCATGATTACGACGTGGATGTACCCTCTCAACCGCTATCTGGAACAGGTAAGCCCAGGCCCCATATTCTGCGGATCGGTTGCTAACCGTGCTTCGCCCAAGAACCTGAAGCTCAAGAACATCACCGCCGTGGCTATCAATCCCGGCGGCCTTGGCGATTCGCGCTGTTTCACGACCAATACGCCCCTCTCGACCAAAATCATACAGAAATTTGTCCTTATACCCTTTATGTCGGTCATCAACCGGTTTGCGGACCCTACGTTTCGATCGTCGGCCGACGCTGCCGCCGACGCGGTGGAGCTTGCTGTCAACAAGGCGCACCCCGGTGAACGAGGTTACCTCACCTTGCTGGAAAGGGACGAGAGTGATCCTATCACAATGGATGAAGCTGTGCAGCAGAGAGTCTGGAAGAAGAGTTTGGAATGGGCCAAGATCACGAAAGACAATACTGCGCTGAAGGAGGCCGTGTAGTGAAGCGGTGGGACATGCGGGAAGGCTCTTATGAGGAAGACTGCTGTCTTCGGTTCCCAAGAGGGATGCAATTTTCAAATCTTGAAACTGCCAATTTTTGCAAGCTTGTATTCCATCCAAACACTATTTCTATGCTAAACATTGCTCCGTGGATGAATGGAAAGGAGCCTAAACAACCATGAAATACCAAAACTCCTCTTCCATGCGTAGATCCTGTTCCCATTCCGTTCCACGTATGCTTTAAACACGGCTAGGAGCTAGAAAAAAAAGTATAGCAACATCTCAATCATCCAAGCAGATTCAACGGCCCCTTACTCGGCGGCATCCCCGGCGTATCCGCATCCGCGTCCGACCCATACAAAGCACGCCGAGCCAGCAGCCCCTGCGGGCAGTCCTGGAAGGGCTTGCAGTCGGGCTCGCACACGGTGCCCTCGGGCGGCAGCTGGCCCGTCGCGAAGTAGTTCGCCACGTGATCGTCGCGACACCTCCCGGGGGTCGTCAGCGTGCCGTGGCCCGCATTATTCTGCACCAGGACCCGGGACCCGGCGTGCTCCCTGGCCATGGCGACGGCGTTGGCGAGCGGCGTGACCGGGTCGTACCGGCTCGACAGGAACAGGATCGGCGCTTGCGGTCTCGACGTGTCGTTGCCGCTGGCGTCCGCCGCCGCCGTCGTCGTCCACGGCCCCTCGAACCGGAACGAGGGACGCACGCGCCACGCGTCGCACCCCAGCCGGACCTGCGTCCACCCCGCCGCGAAGTCCGGCGACTGCGCCTGGAGCTCCGCGACGTAGTCGACAAACCCGGCGGTGTCGGCGTCGGGCCGCAGGGGCGCGTCGCCGCACGCGACCGACAGCAGCGCGTCTTGCGACCAGGTGTACGACCGCGGCAGCGACGAGGGGCAGTAGCTCGCGGCCGACCGCGGCAGGTTGAGACTCGCGTAGAGCAGACTGAAGTTGCCGGCCATGGCGTCGGCGAAGACGGCCGCTACCGTGGGGAAGTACAGCATGGGCTGGTACAGGGCCTGGAAGACGAGGTTGATGGCGTCCTGCCGCGTGATCTCGTCGATGCTGCTGCCCGCGACGTGCTGGGCCGGCGAGGTCTGCAGCTGGTTCAGGAACGCGTCGAAGCGCTGGCGGATGTCGCCGGGACTCGTGTCGCCGGGCCGGTGCAGCGCGCACGCCGAGCCGCCCTCGAAGCACGAGGTGAAGAATGTGTCGTAGTCCTCTTGCGTGTCTTGGAGGTTCTTCTCCCACAGCTAAAAGGGGGGTCGAAATTAGTTTCTAAGTTAAACAGACACAGCTAGGCAGAGAGACGACTTACACCGCCGTAGTAGTCATGAATGTCCACGACGCCTTCCAGGAGCATGCGGCCAACGCGGCCGGGATACATAGACGCAAAGTAGTTCCCAAGGGCGGTGCCATACGAGAACCCCCAATACTGGATCCTAGCCACCTCCCCCTTCGGCCGGCGCCGGTGCAGGCGTCCAGGGCCACCACCGCGCGAGTTTAGCGTCGTTTGGACCGCCGTATTCGCCCTCCGCAGCTCGTCGATCTGATCCACGATCTCGACCATGTCCCGCGCGACGCTCGACGTGGACATGTAGGCGTGGACGTCGTCCCCGGCCGCGCACAGGCGCCCGAAGGAGCCGAACAGCGCCGTCTGGCGCCGGACGACGTCGATGCCGGCGTCCGCGGGGCCCATGGCGCGCAGCTGCAGGGCGGAGACGGCGCGCGCGAACTCGTCGCCGAAGCAGTCGGCGCGCGGCTCGCTCCGCGCCACGCCCCGCGGGTCGAACGACAGGATCTCGTAGTGCTTGGCGCCGTCCGCGATCCCTCGCAGCAGCGCGCCGGAGCCGACCACGAAGTCCACGCCCGACCCGCCCGGGCCGCCCGGGTTCACGATGATGGTGCCGCCGAAGGACGGGTCGCTCTCGGGCACGGTCGCCGGGAGGGCGACGACGGCCAGGCTCACGCGCGCCGTGTTGTTGGTCGGGTTGAGCCAGTCCAGGGGCACCGACAGCTTGGCGCACTTGAAGGTGTCGTAGCAGGTGGTGTAGTTGAGCGACGTGGACGGCTGGATGCTGTTCCAGTTGAAGCTCTGGGCGACGGCGTGGCGGCCGAGTGCCGCCAAGAGGCCGGCCTGCACCGCGGATCTCATTGCGGCGGCGATGTTATCGTCGAAATACCAACACTCACACCACAGCTAGTCGTTG